TTGAACAATGCATGATCTGTCCCAGACTGAATCAGCGCAGTGTCTCCTCACACACTTCACTTAGCTCTTCCTTTGTTCTAGCCTTGCTCCATGTTTTCCTGAAAACATTAGCCATGCGAACACAGGACATGGAATGAACATTGAGCTACTGTATCCTGCTGGGTCCTAGAAGCAGGAAGTCCCCTGTCTCATATGTATTCACCTCTGAGCAATAAAATGAAGAATAGTAACCCGTTTTCTTCTGTGGCAGCTGCCGCTGCCGTTCATCCTGTTCCAGGACACGAAGTGGAAGAGTTAAGACAGCTAAGTGGCAGGAAGAGAACAATAAAAACCCGAGCCCACTTCTGCCCCTGGTCTTTCTTTCCCACGGTTTCAGGACTCTCCTGTGCACGTTTCCTACTCACCAGCCTCCTCCCCCAAGATTCAGCTCATCTGAACATCTGCAGAAGCTAATGCTAGCGTCCAGAGAGGCACCTCTTCCTACGCTATTTATTTACAAGGTCTGCCCTTTTCACACTGAGGAGCACTCACCAGCCATGGCTTCCTCTGCTACCATCAGCTGCTACTGAAACTGAAAGCGCTTTGTGGCTTCCTAGTCACCAGGGTGTGTATGCCGATTGGGAAACAAGCACTGCTCTCCAGTGGTGTGTGTGCGAGATGGTGTTCCTAATTCAACTCAAACTTCCTTCCAGAGTTTCGACTGCCTAGGTGTGAACCACGAAGAGGAGCTCCGATTTCCACTTGGATTACGTTGGTGTAGGAGGGGAGTGGATTTTAGGGAAGAAAGAGAGGAATGACATTGAGCTATTTGAGTTCCCACTCTGAGCCAGATGTTCCCTAGCAGAGCTGAAGATGCACCTGACACATGTGCCCTTCAGTCATTTAGAAACTGTAGTCTATGCAGTGACAGAGAAATTTATAAAACAAAAATGCAGTGCAAATTGTTGCAGAGGTTGGTCATGACCACATAATACCAAGGGGTGTTTCATTGGGTGGTGGAAAGAGGGTTGGTAAGCTGGAGTCCACATGAGGGAAGAATCAAATAATTTTCCACTGTTTGACTGGTGAGGAAGATCTTGTGTGAGAAATAGATGCCCTGAATTAGCTGGAATCATCAAATTCTCAGAAGACAGTTTTTCTCTTTCTACAATGGATAAAGCGCAAGAAGAATAGCCTTGGAGAAGACAGAGATTTGCTTTGGGCATGCTCAATTAAGGTGATTGAAGGGGCTCAGTAGGCAACTATGTGGAATTCTGGAAAGTCAGGAAAGTGTCTGTATTTGAGGACTTGATGAAGGACAAAGCGGCAAATACATGAGGCTCAAAATGTGGGAATGTTTGGGATGTTCTGTATGAAATACACAAAAAATCAATAAAAACATAAAGGAATGGCTGCCAGGTGTGCTGTCATACTCCTTTAATCCCATGACTCAGGAGACTGAGTCAGGCAGCTCTCCCTGAGATCAAGACTGGCCTGGTCTGTCTCCCAGGAAAACTCAGGCTACAGGGAGACTGTCTCCGAAAACAACAACACAATAACAACAACAACAACAACAATCAAACCAGCACAGGAAGGGAATAAACAACTTAGAGAATATTTCTTCTTTTGTTTGTTTCCTTTTCTTGAAGTTTTGATATTTTGATCATATTAACTCTCCCTGATCTGCACTCCACACTACTACCTCCTATATCTATAGGTCCTTTTGAGACAAATGTGTCCACATATACCTTTCAATGTCAGTCTGTTCACTACACCTTAGTTTGCCTACCCAGGCTCACACCCTTATAAACACCTGACTCTCCTCTCCCAGTAGCGATGAGTTGCCAATGTGCCTCTACTAAGGTAGGGACTTCTTACTCATGTCAGAATTCTGAGTCAGGACTTTTTTTCTCCCTTGAACTTACATATGATTTGTACATTGTGACACCAGTGCCATTCAAGTTCATATGAGTAACTGCAGTTTTCTGGAAAACACTTTCTTTGTGGTCATCCACCACTTCTGGCTCTTAGAATCTTTCTTCCCCTTCTGCAAATATTCCCTTTGGAACCAGAGGTTGACGTAGGTGTCCTATTTGGGACTAAGCCTTTGCAGTCTCTTATTCTTTGCACATTGTCGAGTTGTGTGTCTCACCATTAATCATCATCTTCTGAAAGAGAAACTTTCTCCGATGAGAACTGAGAGATGCATTAATCTATGGTTATAGCAATAGGGCATTAGGAGTCAGTTTAATTCTGTGTCTATTTACCAGAATGATAGTAGTTGAATCTCTTCCATTGTACTTAGAGACTGTCTCTTAACATATAGCCCTGCTGTTTGGCCTGAAACTTGATATGCAGAGCAAATTGGCCTTGAACTCATAGATATAAACTTGCTTCTACCCCCAGAGTGCTGGGATTAAAGTTGTACACTACCAAGTCAAGCACAGAAAATACTTCTGAGTATGGCTTAGAATCAGTCTCTGAGAAATTTTCATTGTGAACCTTGGACCAAATAAATGATAAAAATCATTTCTAAAATGATAGACTATATATATATATATATAGCAGCTATAAATATAGTCATTTAACAACTTTCAATATTTGCCAAAATTATTTTCCCAAACACTGGATATTAATCAGTGAGAATCTCTTTCCTGGTTTAGAAGAGCGTCCATTTCCATATGTGACTGTCTGGAAACTTGGCATTTGTCACTGTTGTTAAGTGAAATCTGTCTCTTATAGATGTCTACATAAGGGCCCATAAGTGACTCTTAAGGCACGATGGGTTCTTCCCTCAGGAAGCTGTTTAACTTACAGCTTACTTGGTTATGGGGAAATAGAGAAAAATTATAAAAGAAAAATTTCCTTGTCATCTGAAGAAAGTGTTTCAAACGTTTAGTACAGTATCAATTAATTGAGTAATCTTGTTTTCACCTGACCATAGAGTACAAAGATCCAGTACCAAGCCCTAAATGCATGGTTCAATTACTCAGTCTAAGTTGTTTATCCCTCTTTAAACTGTAAATTAAAATGTGTGTGTGTGTGTGTGTGTGTGTGTGTGTGTGTGTGTGTGTATGAAATCAAGGAAATGAGCCAGTTCAAAGAGTCTTTTTTAAGGAAAAAGTAGTTAATAAAAATATGTCCTTTATCCTCAGATGAGACTCCTGCAAAATCAATAAAGTTAAAACATTAGAAGCTAGTATCTGACCTGAGGAACAGGTATTGGGACAGTAACTTTAAGGTGATGTGAGTCTTGACTTAATGTAAAAGGAATGCAGGAGACAACATTCTGTAAAATAAAGACAGAGTTTGATAGAAGCAATGCATAGAAGGCTCAAAACAAGGGTTTATGAACTCCTTCTGGGTGATGGATACATGGGTAATCTATATTATAAACTTGATTGCCTAGAAGAAAGACTCTTTTTTTGTGAGGGCATTTCCAATGCAGTTTGACTGAGAAGCAAAGATATGTCCTGTTAGGTTACAGGTTACCCTCTCCTAGGGACAGGGTACCCAGGAGAAATACACAGGGCAAAAGGAGATACCAAGCTGAGCACCAGCATTGGACTTTCTCCTCTTCCTGACAGCAAATGCACTGTGCCCAGCTGCCTCGTGCCCTGCCCATCAGCTTTCCTGCCATGGTAGACAGCATCCCTTTTAAACTGTGAGCCAACATATACTTTATCTTCCTTCAATGGTCTTTTCGGGTATTTATCACATTGGGAAAAGTAACTAATGCAGTAAGTAAGAAGAGAGTAGAGAGGAACACTTCTTGGACTTGTGAAAAGTCTACACATTTAATGCTATTAACTTTGTAATAGAATTTTTTCAAAGAAGTTTCCAGCTATCAAAGTTAGTTCTAAAAAAAAGTGTATGTAAGAAAGGTTTCTGAATTAAAGAAGTTGTGAATCAGAAAGCTAAAGAAATCATTCTCATTTGTTTTCTCTTAAATTCTTGAACTTGAATTACATGTATTTTGAGTAAGATTAATTACGAGCTTCAAAGCTTCAGTCCAAATCAAGCTTTATGGAGGAGGGGAGACCAGGAACCTGCTCCTTCTGTAGCCTGTCATTTCTGGATCATTTGTGGACACTGCTGCTGACCTGCTGTTACTGCGCAGTAGACATGGTCAGGAACAGAGGCCGCTAGTTTGCTACAAAAAGTTTCCTGAACGTTAGGACACTCCAGAGCCTCTCTAATCCTCATTGAAATAACATGGAGTGGAGAGGATTTTTCCATGTTGTTTGATTATGTGTAAATTTGGTACTATTGATGATGTTGAAGAAATATCACATGTGATCTGTACAACATGAGGTATGATCCTCATTCCCTGGTGTTTCCTTGTTTTACTCACTTTCATGAGTATATTTTGCTCTGAAGAGAAGTTGTAATAACGTGACTGCATTTGCAAACAAGTTCATTGTTTCGTCTTCATTCCTGGTGGCAAATTCTGGTTCAGACCTTTACCAGATCTTTCAGTTCTTTCAGGGACTCCATATGAACAGCTGTCTTAGTCCTATTTTACATATATCCAAACTATGTTTCATCATGGTTAGGAAACTTGTTAAATGATGACATAGCTCTTGATAGTCCTGCTTTGAACTCAGTGCTCTAGCTCCCTCAAACTATATCAAACTGTCTTCAAACTCTTCCCAACCCCCCCAAAGAAGCATTTCAGTACTCACCTAATCTTCTACACTGATAAATGTTCTCCTACACAAGTAGCAATTCACTGTTCAAGTAATTCACTGTTCAAGGAGGCTCAAGTAAGCAATCTCCTCTGTGGAATAAAATATATTTTTTTTGGTCTTTTTGAGACAGGGTCTCTCTGTAGCCCCAGTTGTCTTAGAACTCACTATGTAGACCAGGCTGGCCTTGAACTCACAGAGATCCGCCTGCCTCTTCCTCCAGGGTGCTGGAATTAAAGGTGTGTGCCACCATGCCTGGGGTACAAAATATTTTTAAGTATAGTTTTATTGAATTTTGTGAATTTCATACAATGCAACTTTATCATATTTAGCACCCCTTCCCCATCTACACCCCCTCCATAACCTGCTGACAGAACTTCATGCATTTTAACATATATGTTAAGGCCTGTGGAGTCAACTTTCTGTACTCAGATGTCCCTGGGTGTGAATTCATTCACTAGAGGCTTTTCAGCCTGTCTAGCCTCACTCGCTTAAGCAAAGTATTGAAAAAGAGAACATACTTATTTCTTGTTAATTTATAGTGGGTGTCCCTTCAAGATTTATGATGAATAAATTCAAGAGAAAAAGAAACACGCTGAGTTTCATTTCAGCTTATAAAGAGCTCTTCAGTGTTCATAAACCTGAAAAATCCTGTAAGTACTTCAGGCTTCATTCCTGGCACTGAATCACTTTCTATAATCTATGGCAGAACTTTTAGGAATTGACATGAGAGTACAAATAAGAACCTCTCTTGAACCTTCTAGAAGGCAATATTTCATAATGTATCGCTTTATGTAGAATAAAAACAGCCTAGGCAGAAACAAAGTCCACTTTTCTGTTGGGTGGTGCAGAGTCATTCCCTGTCGGCGTATGGTACTGACTCTGATCAACCTTACTGTTCAAAGAAAGAGTCACATCATGTTACACCTTTCACATACTTGAAGGAGTTTGACATCTGACAACATATTTCTTTGGTCTTTTCTATGGCATTCCTCCTAAAGATTTGTTAAATTAAAGTAAGGTTAATAGAGGCAGGTCAGAAAAACTAAATGGGAACATTCTAGACATCTTTATTTGTGTGTGTATGTGTGTGTGTGTGTGTGTGTGTATGTGTGTGTGTGCATGTGTATGGGTATTTGTCTGCCTTACACACAGGCAATGTTACTGAACATTAAAAGCTAAGGATTCATTTGTTTCCCCTCACTGCAGAAGGCACGTGTTAAAAGCATCATACTGGACAGTTGGTGTATTTTCAAGTTTGCAATGGAATCCTGAGCAAGAAAGAACAGGAAGTAAGAAAGACTTCCAATAATATGACAACCCTCCATCGCCCACATTGCTACTGATAGATCAACCTTTTTATATTCTAAGGCCAAGGAATAAGAAACAACACATATCAGAGAGTCAGAAATTTATGAGAAACACTGATGACATCAATAAGCTTCAGTAAATGAAGATTCGAATTTTTTGTCTCATAAGAATTTCTTCTCCTGAAGCTTCTTTCCAAAGTGACATAGTCCACTGCGGATCTCACCTTCACTCTGCAGAGGAAGAAAACCATTAGGGAAACTTACAAATTTATCAACTCAGATCACAACTGCAACATAGGTTCTTAGAAGGGCAAATTCTAAGCAGATAGGCCTCAGAACATACACACACACACACACACACACACACACACACACACACAAATTCATAAACACACACAAAACACAACAGAAGAATAAGGCAGCAACTAAAACACAATTATTTAATATGCAGCCTTATTTGGATATTCAATTTATTCTCTTAAATTCCACCATCAACAGATATTCTGACATGTACCTAATAGTGATTTAATCAGTTTAGATACAAGGCTGAGCAGCCAGGAACCTAATGCTCCTTTAAGTTTTTCCTTTCAGAGGCCTTCATGGGTTTAAGTGGGTGTGAATACAGGGTAATAAAGGACAAGAGGTAGGAGAAGGCAGGTTATCTAAAACTAATATGTATGAAAATGATGTAGCTGAAAATTCATTAAATTCTAAGCTAATTAGAAATGTAACTTTAAAAATAGGAGCTTGAACAGGGCTATCATACATGGATAAATAAATCTCTCAGAAGATATGGGTTATAATAAAAAAAATTCAGTTCTAGTAATGGGTTACATGAAATTTATTGGTCAAGGGGACCCAGAGGCATCCAAAGCAACATAGGCAATTGCCATTTCTCTTGGTTACCCACTATTTCCATCCAGATCATAAGATCCTATTGTTGAAGAAAGCACTCACTTTGGTTAAAAGACTTAGAAAAAAATAATCTTAAACAAAGAAGGAAATCCTCTCCCTACAGGCCAACATTTTGAGATCTGGAAGATGATAAGCCAGCACAGTGAAGGAAGGACTTCAAGGGTTTTACCTAGTGCTTGATGTTGCTACAATACACACCTGCCAGCACAATGTGACTATTGTGAGTGAAATGGCATGGCTTTTACAGGAGTAACCAACTATGTACAGTTTGGAACTTCTAATGTTTTCATGAACTTCATGTAGTTAAATTACATGAGCATGTCCTTACCATGCACAAAGTCCTGTATTCTATCCACAGCACCATATAAAACTGGGTGTGGTAGCCAGGAGGTGAGCATGTGAAATCGTAGGGTAGAAGTTATAAAAAGAGATGAGCCTCAAGACCTGCAACAGAGCCTCAGAGAGAGAAATGAAAGCAGAGCCAGGGGAGATGTCAGCAAACAAACATAACTAAGAGGAAATCAGATAATGTTTCAAAGATACACAGAGTGAACTTTGCTGAGGATGCAGCTCTTACCTGCAGAAAGTCCCAGAGTTCCTGCCAGGTGGCCGTCTTCTTCACAAATATAAGCAATACAGATTTGGCATGCCTGGGGCCCTTTCCGAATGACAGAGTCACATAAATCTCGTGCCTTATCTGCAACAGTGGCATTTGCACAATTTATTCTCTCCATCTCTTCTTGGTTGAACACTTTCTTCTGTAAAAGTTCATCCAGCAAGCCATTTATTGTCCCTTTGCCCACTGAGCGGACAAACTGCTTCCTCTTCTCTCTCAGGGTGTTGTCTGATTAGGGCACAAAGAATTTTCAAGTCAGATAAACAGCCTCATATTCCCTTCATGTCCTGAAGAGAGCATGGCCTGCTTTGGATCAAATCAGCACAGTGTCTCTTCACACAGTTTACTTGTCTCCTCATTTATTCTATCCTTGCTCAGTATTTTCCCATCAACATTACCCATGTGCAATGGAGTGCGGGATGAACACTGAGCTACTGCCTTCCTGTTGGGTCCTAGAAGCAGGAAGTCTCCTATCTCATATGTACTCTCCTCCGAGTAATAAAATGAAGAAGTAATAATAACCCGTTTTCTTCTGTGGCAGCTGCCGCTGCCGTTCATCCTGTTCCAGGACTCTGGGTGGAAGATTTAAGACAGCTAAGTGACAGAAAGAGAACAATAAAAACCCGAGCACACTTCTGCCCCTGGTCTTTCTTTCCCACGGTTTCAGGACTCTCCTGTGCACATTTCCTACTCACCAGCCTCCTCCCCCAAGATTCAGCTCATCTGAACATCTGCAGAAGCTAATGCTAGCGTCCAGAGAGGCACCTCTTCCTAAGCTGTTTACAAGTCCTGCCCTTTTCACACTGAGGAGCACTCACCAGCCATGGCTTCCTCTCCCACCATCCACTGCTACTGAAACTGAAAGCACTCTGTGGGTTCCTGGTCACCAGGGTGTGTATGCAGATTGGGAAACAAGCACTGCTCTCTAGTAGTGTGTGTGCATGATTCTGTTTCCTAATTCAACTCAAACTTCCAGAGTTTAGACCTGTGCCAAAGAGTGAACTTGGAGATGAGTTTTCTGAAACATATGCAATAGCTCAGGGTAGGAAGTGGGTGGGTCCTAGGGAAGAATGAGGGGACAACATTCAACAGCTATTTATTGAGTGCCTACTCCGAGGCAGATGTTCCCTAACAGAGCTGAAGATGTGACTGGCACATACATGCTCTTCCGTCATTTACAAACTGTAGTCTAGAAAGTAAGAGAAATACATTTAGAAAACAAACTACTGTGTACTGTTAAGCAGCATGTACAAAACAACATGGAAGCGATTGTCAGACACCAGATGGTGGAAAGGGGTTGGTAAGTGGCGTCTACCTGAGGAGAGAATGAGACAATTCTCACTGCTGGACCAGAGAGGAAGTTACCGGGTGAGAAAGAGCACCCCAAGTGAATTGAAATCACCCACATCAAATTCTCAGCAGGCAGTAGTGCTTTCTAGAATGGGTAAAGAGCAGGAGGAATAGCCTTGAGGGCGACTGTGAGTTTAGATTTGGGCATGCTCAGTTTACGGTGATTGAGAGGCTCAGTGGGCAACTCTGAGAAATTCTAGAAAGTCAGGGAAGTCTACATTTAAGACAGTCTATAGAGGAGGCTTAAAATTTAGGAATGTTTGCCTGGCTTAGTGAAGCAATCCTTTCATCACAGCACAACACAGTTCATATGAGCAATTTCCCAGTTGTCAGGAAAACTCTGATTTTCTTGTGGTCTTCTATCACCCCTGGCTATAATCTTTCTGTCCCCTCTTCTACAATGATCCCTGTATCTTGGGTAGCACAAGTTTGATATAGGTGTCCTACCCAGGGACACACACTTTGAAGTCTCTATTCTCTGTACTTTGGCCAGTTGTGAGTCTTGGTGTGAATCACCATCTGGTTCATGAGGAAGTTTCTCTGGTGAGAGTTGAGAGATGCATTCATCTATGCATGTAACAATACATGCATACAGTTTCACTCTATATCCCTTTAGCAGAATTATTGTAGTAGATTCTATTCTCTGACCCTTTGTGTCCATTACTATGTAACCCTAATGGTTGGTCAGAAACCATCTCTGCAGACTAAACTGGCCTTGAATCACAAAGATATGCTAGCCTCTGCTCCAGAATGCCAAGGGTAAAGGTGTGCACCACCATGTCCAGATCAGAAAATATTTCAAGTGTGGCTTAGTAACAGTCTCTGAAATTTCTATTGTGCTTCATCATAGACCAAATGAATAATAATCATTTCTAAAATGATAGACTGTGAGTGGATGATAGCTGTCAATAGAGTCACTGAACAATTTTCCAGATTTGTCAATAATGTTTTCCAAAATACTGAACATCTATCAGTGGGAATCCCATTCCTAGAATAGGAGTTCATCCATTTCCAGGTGTGGCTATTTGGAAGCAGTGGCATTTGCTCACTGATGTCTGAAGTGAAACTCATCCCTTACTGATTTAAGGGTCCATAATTGATTCATAAGCCACAAAGAGGCTTCCATCATGAAGTTATTTAACTTACAGCTTACTGAATTATAGGGAAAATATAAAACATAATTGTAAGGGAAAATTACCTCTTCATCTGAAGACTCACAAAATTTGGTAATCTAGTAACCTTGATTTACCCAATCACATGGAACAATGACCCAGCACCAAGCCCTATGAAGATGGTGAAAATGCTCAGACTAAAGTGTTCATCCTTTCTTGAACTGTGCACTACAAAGGAGATATAGCTACTTCAGAAATGAGCCAATTCACACAGATATTTACTCTTTTTTAGAAGAAATAGTTAATAAAAATGTCTCCCTCATCTCTAAATTAGACAATTGTTTAAAAAATCAATAAAATCAGAAAATTAGGAAATTAAGATCTGACATGAAGAGTAGGTATCTGAGGCATCAATTCTTATGTCTAATGTGAGAATTTTATCAGACGATACTGAATTGGACACTTATCAAAGAAACTTCTTTTTGCAACATATGGAGGATATTAGACAGTTCCACAACTGGTCTCACACATAGAACATGTATCTGAGAGATGCCCAGGCCTAAATAACACATCTACAGTGAAACCTCTATGCCTAAGGCTTACAGAATAAGCAGAACAGGAGCAAGTAAAATGTTACCACCTCATTCAACTCTCTACAGCAAGCTTCCTCATAGAATAGATTGCAAAGCACACAGAAGGCCACAATTGACTAAGTTTTAGAGAATTAAGAGACTGTGGAGTGCTTGTCCCTAGATCGGACTCTTATATTAAACCTCATCCACCCAAGGCTTGGGGTCCATTGTGGAAGAAGGGATACTAAGACCTTAAGAACTAGAGTTGGTGCATGAACGTAAGGAAACAAAGGCTTCCAGATCACTGGGAACTTGGTCATATGAACTCGCAACAACGTGACAACATGTACAAACCCAAGCCAAGCCAATCAGACAAACACCCATCACACAATGAAGGAAATGGGCAACAGGCCCAAGCCTAGCCTAGGAACTATATTGTGGAAGAAGGGATACTAAGACCTTAAGAACTAGAGTTGGTGCATGAACATAAGGAAACAAAGGCTTCCAGATCACTGGGAACTTGGTCATATGAACTCACAATAACGGTGACCACATGTACAATACCCAAGCCAAGTCAATCAGACAAACACCCATCATACAATGAAGGAAATGGGCAACAGGCCCAAGCCTAGCCTAGGAACTAC